GCAGAGGGGCTGGAAGGAAAGAAGGAGGGGGGGCCGGTTTGAGGAGGAGCTGGGATGTTGCGTCAGACACGGCTTCAAGCAGGTGTCTGGTTTAGGGACGGCGGTGACCATGTGTCGTGGTGGCTCTGGCTGGCTTCAGTCAACCCTGAAAGCCAAATCCTGCCCCGTTTCCTCGCCTGCGCCCCTGGGGAAACCGAGGCACGGGGCTTCATCGCTCAGCCCGAGGCTGCTGTGGGAGTCACCAATGCTCACTCCCCCCACCCCCTGGCCAACACGGGGTGCCCGGTGAAAGCATGTCCCCCACGATGACCTGCCCAGGGCTGGGTCCCCCGTGGCCTCACCGTAGGGACCTCAGCACCGTGTCTCAGCTCCTGCCTTACACCTCTCTCCGCGCAGCCATCACCCTGAGACCTGGCTCCTTCCCTCTCCCCTTATATAGCACCCGGGAGGACATTCCAGCAGCCGCGGGGCTCGGGTGACAGTGAAACCCAGTTCCCCCGGTGGCATTTGAGTCGATGAGAGTGGGGTCACCCAGTACCCGTGACCAGTTGGCTGTTTTTCAGCCCTCTGCTCCCCCCTCGCAGGGCGCTGGCATGGGGGGGTGTGTGTGGGGGGTGTGGGGTGGTCCTGCCTGGACCACCAGCCCCCATCGGAGCAAAGCTTTGGGGCAGCAGCACCCGACAGCACGGTCCTGCCGTTTGGTGGCCGCTGGAACCTCAGGGATGGGCAAATAATTTGGGTTTTTTTAACCTAAATGTACTCTGGGGAGGAGGAGGTACAGAAAACACTTGCCCAAGGCTTTTAAAACGAGCGGTTCGGAGGCAGAGCAGGACCCAGCGCTCCCCCCGTGGGGCAGGTCGGACCCCTTTGCCCCCTGCCCACGGACCGCACAGCCGTAATTCATCCCGGGCAGGTGCCACGCTTGCCAGCGGCATTTCCTCCGCATGGTGTAACATGTCCCCCGGCTCACGCGGAGCGCCCCGAGGGCAGGGGGCCACGCAGAGGTAAATCCCTCCCGTGTTTTTGCTCCACACGACCAAAACCACGATGCGCTTCCGAGCGTGGCCATGTGCCGGGTGTGTAGCCGAGGCGAAGGACAGGGCTCAGGACAAGGCTGGAGGCCGAGCATGGGGTGACAGCTCAAGAAATGTCCCTTTTCCTCCATTTTTCTTAAAACTTGGTGCGTTTAACTCTTTGTGCTCTTTAGCGCTACCCGCACAAACCCAGCGCGCGTCCCTGCTGATGTGCAGAAAGACTCCGCTCGTGCACGGGAGCACGCAGGAGGGATTTCGAGCTGGTTTGAGACCCCGAAGCCACCTTTGCCCCGTCGATCGGGCTCCAGGCAGAAGCTCGTCTGGCACTGACGCCCCTCTCCAGCTGGCTGCCGTCTTGTTTTCCCGGCCGGTTGGACCGCGCTCCACCGCTGACCTCAGCACAAGAGGAAGAAGCTGTTTATCTCATGCCGGAGCTGTAACTCAGGAGTCAACATTGTCACCTCCTATGTCACCGTGTTCCCAACCTAGCGGGCATCCCGCTTGGGTTTTTTTGGGGATGCCACCGGGATCGGCAGCGGCAGGACGCCCGCGCGTCACTCCTGTTCTCGCAGGGAGGACGCTCGGGACGTGCCAGTGATGCACTTCAGCAGAGATAAAGTGACAACTAAACAGGAGTTGACGTGGTAGGCAGAAAAAGACTTGAAACAGGTTCAATGCTTTGGGTGAAAAAACTCCGCAGGTAGCATGCGGAGAGGGCAGAACAGATTTTTTAGGTCAAACCTGGCGTGGGGAAGTCGCGGTAGCCGTGAATCGGGCATTTAGGATTTCCCCTGGCGGA